ATTATTAATATAAACTTACTTTAAAATTATTGAAGTTATATTACTTACAGTAAAATATTTTAGTAATGTATACTCTGTATTTATTTATTTAATTGTATATAGTTATGATTGAAATAAGAAATATTACCTATGAATTAATAATATTCAAATAATTGTTTTTTCTTAGATTCTATCCAAGATCATACTGATGATAATCTTAGTAAAAATAAAGAAATAGAAATTATGAAGCCGACAGTGAGCATAAATGGTCTGTTGATATATCTTATAAAAATATATATATTATGAAATTAAACCAAAATAATTTGTATTAAATATTTTTAGATATTTCTTCAGATAAAATAGAACCAAATGTTGATAACAAAATAAGTAATGAAATTATTGAAGAAACATCTATTGCAATAGATAATTCAACAATTTTAGATGATGAGAAGGACGAGGAAAAAGAACTACAACCTAAAACTGAGATTATTGATATCTGTACACCATCTCCACCTACAGTGTCTAAGATCAATGAAATTTCCCAATCATCTAATCGACAGTTATTAACCATTGAGACATTATTATGTCCACCTGGTCGACTTAATAGACCTTCTAAAATAGTAATAATACTAAGAGGTTTACCTGGCTCAGGAAAATCACATGTTGCAAAATTAATCAAAGTTTGTATATTATAAATTGTAGTATTATTAAGTTTTTTAAACTATTAATGATTTTTTTTTTAGGAAAAAGAACTATCAATGGGAGGTCAAGCTCCAAGAATATTATCCTTAGATGATTATTTCATGACAGAAGTAACAAAAATTGAAATTGATCCTGAAACCAATAAGAAAGTGGAAAAAAAGGTAATATAATTAACATAAGAATTGTTAGAAATTAATCCTTAATGACTTTTTGAATATCATGGAAAAACTTCAATACAAATATGAAATATGTATCTGCTTATTGGTTATTATGAGTTTGCTATGACTTATTTTAGCTGGGAATATCATTATAAATAAAGTTTATGGTTATCACATTTAAACAACCATCATATGCTTAAAAAAATAATCTACTTTATAATTTGTTATATATTTAAAATTAATGTATCAAAGCAATTATTTAAATTTGTTATATTATATATATTTAATATATAATTTAATATATATATTTTTTTATTAAATTTAAATTTATTTTGTTTTGTATTTTTAAATTAATAACAAAATATCACAACTACAGCGAAATGCAATTTATATATTTTACTTATCATGAATAATCATAATATAAAAACAATAATAATTTTTTTTTATTAATTATGTACATTCTAATTTTTTAGGTTATGGAATATGAATATGATTCTGCTAATGAAAATTTATATCGAACGTCTTTTATAAAAGCATTTAAAAAAAAAATTTTGGAAAATTATTTTTCATTTTATATTATTGATGCCATTAATAATAAAGTGTCATATTATAAAGAAATAATAGAGATTTCTCGAATGAATGGGTTTACTGTAAGTGTATTATTTATTTAAGGATGGGTAGATACTTAAAGCAATACTCAATATTGGTGGTTCTGGTTTTATTGGTGTAAGTTATTTCCAAAACCAATACCATTAAACCAAATCTACCATCATTATATCATAAATCAGTGATCTCAAACTCAAATTACCTACGGGTCATATATTTTTTCAAAAAAAATTTGCGGGCCAAATTTTAAGTGTCACTTTTATACTTATATACTAGAAACTAAAGACAAAATGAAGGCAAAAATACATACAAAATCCATTTATTTACTTTTTATTACTACAAAATTATCATTGAAAAAATATAATGATCGTTAACTTAAAAAAAAAATTATAATTAAAATTTAAAAATAGCTTGAATATTTGATAATTTTTATTTTTGAGCTGCACTATTTTCATATTTTTGTTTAAAATGTATTTTTATTGCGGGCCACTTGTGGCCCGCGGGCTGTATGTTTGAGACCACTGTCATAAATGGTTAAGTTTACAATTGTTTATTATAAGTATAATAGCAGTATATCATTGTTACTATAAACAATATTTCAACTGTGATTGTAATCTTAATTAATGATATTAAAGATCATTAATTAATAACATTAAGCATATTAAGTTATTACTTATTTGTTATTATTATTTATTTTGAAAGTTTCCATATTTTTATTATTTAATAATTCAATTAAAAAGGAACATATTTATTTATTATTATTTTTGTTTAAACTTTAAAGGTAAGTATTATAAGCTATTTTGTAAAGAATATATAATTAGTAATGACTTCATTTATATATTTTTATCAGTTATTATGTTAATATGTAATATTATTTTTGTCAAATATCATTTATTGATTTCAGTATTATTTTAACACAGATTTATAGTTTTTGCTAAAAATATTGTGTTTTTTTTAGGTATTGTTAAAAAGTTTATCAACCTAATTCTTTATTATGTTATACTGATTTTTATACATCTCATTTCAGTGGCATAGTATGCTCTTTTTAAAAGAGGAGAAGGGATATGAATTTTTATTTATTGCCCAGACTTTGTTATTATATAATGTGGATACATTTATATACTAGAATTTACCTGAAAGTGCTAGTTAATTATAATAATATTAAATGATTAATTGTTTTTAAATAGAATTTATATATTATTACTTATTAGTAACACTTTTGTGTAGAACATTCCATGATAGGGAATAAACCCCTTGTGAGCACACCCCTGTCATACATAAACTTGTTTTAAAAAATAAAATGATCTTCATTATAATATTTTCCTGTAGCTATTTAAATCTATTAGATTTATTTTAGGTTAAAAAATTCTTTAAATACATGATTTAATAATCAAATATTTAAATTTTTTTACAGAAATAATCACAGTTGAAATATTTAATTATAATTATAAATGTCTCATGATAAAATTATATTCTTATTAACTTAATATATCTATTTAGGTCTATATTATTGAATTAGAATCTGATATTGATTTGTGTATCAAACGTAATATTCATAATAGAACAGCTCATGATATTAATAGTATAATGAGATCTTGGGTTAAAACACCTTCTGATCAAATATTGTTGGATATAAGATCATTACTTTCACCTTCAGAAAGCGAGGTACTAAAATTTGAAATACTGTTTTATATTTTTGATGTATTAAAGACATAATCTATTATTAATTTAGATGGAAATGGAAGATGTCTCAGATATTGAAATGGAAGTGGATAAAGGTGATGAGGCCATTGACGACAACAATTCTGAAGAAAATAAAAATATTGAATTTGAGGAAGAGGTAACTAATACTTAAAAATAAAACATTTATTACAAAAGTGGGAAAAATATTATTAGAGAAAAAAAATTATGAGTACTATACTGGATTTTATGTTTTACTATTCTCAATAACAATAATATTAATTGCGTCAAATGTTCATGTTTATTATAATAGTAATAATAATAATAAAAATAATAATAATAATAAAAAAGACCAAATCATCACTTGTAATGTGTAAACAATTATAATAAATTATTCATGTAAAATTAGTTTCAAATTAGTGTTTATTTTTATTTGTTTAAATATAATACATAAAATGTTGTTGAAAACATAGTATTTTATAAAAACTGTACAACAAGAAGATACCATTTATATTATACTATTTGTTTGGTTGCTAATATTTCTACAGGACGTCATGAGATTATTATCTTGCAAATGGACTGATACTATTCCACAAGAAGAAAAGATGAGTACGTTTCACTATTTTTTTTATTTTTTTTTGCTATTTATTTATATTTAGCATTCATGTTTAAAAAAAATATATATTAAAAGCTTAAATATTAGTAATATAGTTCAAATTACTTTTTTTTTGATTATTGAACATTCAATTTCAATATTAAATGAAAAATGTATTACAGAAAGATTGGATGGTTTATGCAAGAAAAAACCAGAAAGCTCAATTAAAGAATGGCTGCAAATACCTGAAGATTATTACTCTGTTAGTGAACAAGTAGTTGTAAATGATGGGAAAAAAAGGGTATGTATCATGTCACTAACTTTTTATTTTTGGAGGAGAATTAAAAACCCCAAAGCCCTCCCACGTGTGTGTGTGCTCATACTATATAAATATTTTGAAAGTTATTTGTATTCTAATTGTCATTCTCAATGTAACTTGAATATTAATTTAATTTTTAAACTATTAAAATATACATGTTTATAATAAAGAGGGCCAAAAGAAAATTCTGTGTACTGAAAATTTAAATCAGAATAAAAAGAATTTTTTGTAATTTTTGTTTTAATTTGAAGTCCATAAATCTATACTGCAGTAATTAACATATTTATATTTTATTATACATAACTTAATAATTTATCTGTAAGGCTATATTTTACAAGTAGTCAACCATTTTAAAACTCAATTTACAATAAATAAAACTGTCACTTACAACTTTCAAAGTACATTTTATCCAGTGTTTGCAAAAAAAAAAAAATAAAAAATAATAACTTAAAACTATATAATGCTAATATATTTTTCACTTGCTTCAATATTAACATCTATTTAGGTTCGTTGGGCTGATATGGAAGAACGGCGTGAACAAGAAAAAATGCGTGCTATAGGCTTTGTTGTTGGGCAAACAGATTGGAATCGGATGTTAGGCCGGGATCAAGGTGAAAGCAAGTTGACACAAACAAAATATATTTGATCACAAATAAAATAAATTTGATCATTTCAATATGTAAATATTTTAATATGCTTAAGTGTTTAAACAAATTTAATTTTTATTATTTTTAAATGTATATATTTTTATTGTTTATAAAAAAAATGATTTAAGACCTATTTGTGTGCCTTTGTTAAATTACTTTTATTAGGTATACTGAATACAATATTATGTATTAAAATGTATATTACATACTTAATATCATATTCGTTTAAGTTGTAACAATACTATAAAATAAAGAAATGAAGAAACCAAACAATGGATTAAATTTAATCACATTAGAACCTAATACCAGTAAGTATACACAAGGTTATTCTATTACTGTAATTTTTATTTAAACTACCTACTTATTATAAATGTTTTCAAATTTTGTAACCATAATATTATCACGAGTAGTTGACGGTTTGTCTTCAATGAAATCATTGCGCGGTCGTATTACTGTCTGCTTTGTTATGCGCGTCATCAACACTGGTCCTTGTTTGTTGTCATCCAATGATCTCTAAAGTTCGAATCAATGAAATAAATATTCAAATCTCCTTCTCTATTATGCATTTATCATATTTATATGTATTTAATATATTATGTAATATACATATCCATATTGTTATGAAATAAACTGATCAGTTGTGTGTAATTTTTATTAAGTATAATAATTATTATTACCTGTAGTATATTTAAAAAAAATAAAAATGCCAGCAATGCTAATGCAGATGACGTTGTTGATGTCGAACGCCTTATACTTCGATTTTGTTTTCTTTTGGAAAAATTACTATTTATACAATTATACATAATATACTATTATTATTATGATTATTATTATTATTATTATTATTATTGTTATAACCACTTATATTCGTGCTGATTATTGAAAATATTATTAATAGTTACTTAATATTAAAATAATGTATAAGGTTATATATTATTATATAATTTATATTGCTCACTTAGTACTATACGCGCGCCCCATGTTCAATGGTAATACATTACTGTTGACGTTATGAGTTCCTTGACTGTTTGAAATATGTGCATTGGTAGACAACGACATGACGGTGGATTTAAAGAGTCTGCTGTACGCTTTTTTATTTGTATTATTAATCGGTGCAGTTTTTTGTTTTGTTTCAGAAAAAGATTATTGAAAAATATTTGGGACCTGATGAGTTCAAAGCTTGTCGCTGGGCGAATAAGATAATCTTGATAGACTTTCGAACATCTCCGGCACAATAACTACATATTATTTATATGAGTCGTACTTACGCAGGTGTATATAATTTGAAGAGTCAACAGCCATGACTATAAAGTATACCCATCGATGTCTTCTAAATTATGTTCCAAATTATAATAATAGTCTTATTATAAACCGTTAGCTTTGTTTTTTTTACAGCTAAATTTTAATTATACTGACTTAGTCTGTGAATATGTTTATTTTTTGACACTGTATTATTATTTAAGTAAAAAAAATTTTTAATTCGTCATTTGTTTTTTTTTTTTTTTATAAATTTACCTATAAAATAGCACATGCCTTGATAAAATTCTAGAGCACATTTATAGCGAGTTAAGTTTCTTAATTTGTTTTATTAAATGTTTAAAATGTTTAAGTAAATATAAATTAATAGGATATTATGTTTAATAATTTATAATATTTGTTTAATACTACCTATAACTTATAAATACTAATTTAAAAAGTGCACCCTTGTATATCGTACAAAATACAAATATATCTAATAATATATAATTATATCGATACAATGACTTAATAACTCCTTGGCGAGCTTTAATAAATACCTATAGAAATAAAATGAGGAATCTGATAAGATTATAAATTTCAAACTCTTTCAAGACTCAGTTATTATTCCCATTCTTCTCGGTGTACACTGGACTAGAACACAAAGCAAGTCAAATGAATAGAGGTAGATAAAGCACTTTTTAAGGAATTTGCCAAATTAAAGAAATAATTTGATAAAAAGTATTTAATTCTAAACTCAAGTAAAACCGTATAATTATAGCTTTTCGCTTTAACATTCGGGAGGCATGCATACCACTTAAGTCAAAAATAGGTGGACGATACGGATATAGCACATGACGAATGCCCTTGTTAGCTGAGAATCAAACTAGATAGAACCTTCAGTTACAGACAAAACAACAACCAATGAAATAGACCTAGAGTGTCCTCTATAACTGAACTCGAAAAAATAGGATTTAAAGCACTTATAAACACTATGTAAAATTGTAAAGCCACGTGTAATCTGTCTGTGGGGCTGTACCAGTGGCGGCTAGTGGATTTTTATTTTTTAATGAATTTAGTACACATCCAAAAAAAAATATAACCAATATTATATATATTATAAATTGTATTAAATAATTGCTTACAAATTTTAGTTATTTACTAATTACCATTTATTTTGTTTTATATTAAAGTCTGAAGTAGACCTATTTTTATTTTTTATTTTCATCTTTTTCTCCCACGGGATTGTTGAAATTTGAGTTGCATTATTTGGTGTACTGAATGCATTTTAAAAATTAAAAATAAATACGTGAATAATAATATACGTTAATATTGGTCGTCAATAAAAAAAAACAAAAACAAAAAAAAAACAGAAACACGATTGTTATGAATTTCCGATAATAAATAATGATCTACAAACATTATCAGCTGATAATCGGAATATAATAAATGAATGAGAGTAAAAATAAACTATAATGCCGACGCCAACGTGTAATGATGCGGAGACATCGAAATAATTCACTGAAAACAATTTAATTGGTTATGTGCATAGAAACAATTAACAAATGTGCACATCAATTCCATTATAACGTGGGTTGCGTGTATCGACTTGTTTTTATTTTTATTTTTTACACAATACAAAATAAGTATGCACAGTGATTTTGTGCACATTGTACAATTGCACCACTATAAATTATAATACACCGATACCGTTGTCGCGGACAACCGCCCGACTGTTTGGCCGTTGAAATAACCCAATCCAAATATTATATTATTTTCATAATATTCTGAATTTATATTTTTATATTTTGAAAAATAATCTTTATAACACTACATGTATTTAGTTGTATGATTATGATTTATGTTTTTAATTTTTCTTGAATTTGGGTAGGTAGTGTACGTGCACTTGTGCACATATACCCAAGCGGCCACTGGCCTGTACCTTCATTTATTTTGTTAAGTGCCAATCATATTATGACCTTTTTATTTCAATTTATGTTGTTTTTATCAACATTTGCATTTATAATATTTAGCTGTTTACGATATGGTCGGTTTACTATTTTAAATTTTATATTATACTAATAATTATTAATATTTCTTTGTGTACCTACTTAATTTTAAAACATAAACCAACATTTTTGTAAAAAAAATATATTTTACTTCTTATGCCACATAAAATATTTTTTGGAATACTTCAATGTATAAAAGTTTAATTGTTGACGAATAATGTATAAGTTATTTATTAGTTTTACGCATTAAAAATTTGAATGAACAAAATGGAGTGCCTGGAGTGGTATAGTAGAATAAACACTTCAATAAATGTTGGTCTGCCACTCCGCTAATTCAAACTTAAAATATTTATAAAGCTACGATATAACTAAAAAACTAATAGTTTAAATTTTGATTTTTATTGATCAAAATTAGCACTTTCACCAAATAATATTTTGTTTTGGAATATGAAATTAAAAATATATGTTGTTAATCAAAAAAGTAAAAACTTGATAATGATAAAAAATATGAAAACATTAACTTTTTCAATGTTTTTTAATAACGACTTAATATTTTCAAAAACTTAAATGTTTTTTAAAACACCGAATGTCTTATATTATACAATGGACTACTCTGTTTATATATATATCAAAATTTGATAGGAACCGTCATAAAGTTTCCTTAGCGATTTCTTATCATGTAGTCATCATGCATAGCATTGATTATAAATACTATATTACTATAATTAATGGTAATTCGTAGTAGGTACTGTTTTTTATTTTTGTTGTAATGGAGATTTTGCAAAAGAGCACAAAAAAAAAATGCATAATATGAGGAAAAATGCATAATAACACAAACATACAAGTGCATAGAAGCATGTACGATATAAATAGATACTAAATACTATCTGTATTACCCGATTTCGCCTGGAAAAAATAAACAAACATAAAATATGGCGCTTTATCGGAGTATATCAGTTTTAATGTAAGTACCCATCTATTTCAATTCACGGAAAATCGGCATCGGAATAATTTGCTTTGTGAACTACTAAATCCAACCCACTGAAGCCTGTGGTGGACTGGTGGATTATATATATAAGATAGGTATAAAACTTGGTAAATTGTCGCACGTAATTCAAAATACTCTCTACACTTTCCCGACAGTAATATCTAAAAACCATCTCTCAAATTTTCTTCAAAATTGGTTGATTAGTTTTTTAGTCAGTAGGTAATCTACAAACATAAGTATGAATATTGCCTTTTATTGTACATTTTTATGACAAACAATTAATTAAATACTATTTCTTTTAATTTAAAAGAGATCCCATAGTAATTTTAAGTCTATTAGTGCCACTTTTTAAATTTATTTCTATTTTCTATATAACTAATGGCAATCCTGTATATTATATATGTATTCGATCTTGGTGAGCTAAAACAAAATTCATGAGTGATTGTGTGATTAGGGACCATGTTTTCTTGATTCTTAAAACCGAATATCTCGGACGTAGTATAAATTCTTATCAGAATGGTTACCACTTACCGATGTCTCAATAACCCGAAATTAATTTGTCAGTTTACCGGTAATAGTTAGGTATTTAATATTGTTATGGCTTTTAAAGTTAATATAAAATATTTTTAGACAGCGCTAAAATAGATAGGTACATTTGTATCACATTGCGGTTAGGTGTTTGATGAACCATAACCATGTTAAAGAAATATATTTTAATGAAACCATTAATCAATGCATTTAAATTAATCGTCACTCAGTCATAGTTTTTTTTTTTTTTTTTTTATATATATATGTCATAATTTATATGAAAAAGAGAATATTAAGAATTCATTTTTTTAATACAACTAATGTGCTTTTAACACTGTAGAAATAAATAAAATGTCTAAGTTACTTTCTAAAAAGAAAAAAAATGATAGAGAGCTTTGCCAGATAATTGCTAATTCAATCACGGAAATAGTACGTGATAGCCTTAATCCAACATTCAGACAAACTTATTTCAACACCATACAAGTATTACAAAAATTTTGGATAATTGAAATTAGTATATTACCTAAAATTTGTGATATACTAAAATATAGTTTTTTGAAATTTAATATTATTGATATGATTTAGATTTTACAAATAACAATTCAATCGAAATTGATTGTTATATTTTTAATTTTATTGTTTTTGTTGTACCAACCTATATTTATTAGGTTACTAATTCAACTGATGCTCAAGATTTCTTGGAAAATCGTCTTTTAAGTGTATTGGGTGTAAATAAATCGTTCGTAAGTATATAGGATTATAGCCTATAATTTATAGGTAGTAGGTACTTACATATTTTTTTTATAATTTATTTAGAAATGGATTTCCAGTAAAAGGAGCGATGATTAGTTAAATTTTAAGAAAATAATAATATTTTATAAGACCTAAATTTGGATCCTTTCTCAGTTTAGCATTTGAGATATTTAGCACATTTATCTATAATGTTTTTATTAAAAATAAAACAGTTTTTAGTACTTACATAATTTATTTAGAACTTTTATAGTATACACGAAATATATTGTTATTAATTATTATATTTCGATTAGATTTTATTATGTATTTATATACGATGCACATATCTGCGTGAAAATTCCATAAAATTTAAATTTGGGTTCTTCGGAATAGTATTTAGTAATAGCGATCTATTAATTATAGCTAACAAAATTTTCTGTAATTTTTATTTTCAGCAGGAACAAAATAATATGAACATCCGTCAAACACACGTCATAGAAGAATATATTGCTACAAAAATATTGTGCTCGTCTGATGCAGTAAATAAACATAGGTATTTAGAAATGATTTCATTGATAAAACATCTCATGAATATAAATTCAAAATCAGATTAAAAATTCAAATGTTTCAATTATCA